CAAAGTTATTTATTTAGAGTAGCCAAGCATGGTTTCTTACATGGTAACTTGAACCTTTTATCATAATCCTTTTTTCTGTTCCTCTACAGATACTTTTAGGGAAGAGGGACAGTAGTTTGGGGAGAAGGAGGAGTGGTGTGAGGTGGTCAGCACACCTTCTTACCCATACAGTTTCCCTCGTCATATACCTCCCTGTCAGCTCTAATACTACCCTTCAAGGGCAGCAGTAAGGAGGTTTCATAGACAAAAGAAAATATCTCCTTACCATATCATGACTGGAGTCTCAGTTGCACGTCACTTGCATTGTTGTATAGTCATAGTATGTGTGCTAAGTAAATGCTTTTGGAGGAAGTCAATGGAAAGAATAATATTACTAGAATTATACACAAAAAATCACCCAAAATATCCTTTTCTTATAACCTGACAATAATGCTAAGTGATTCAATTGTGCACATTGGAAAACAAATCTTAAAAGAGAAAAATATTGATCATTATAGTTAAAGTTCTTTTTCCAAATCCAACTATGTATTTGGATTCATTATTTATAGCGAATAGGAAGTTCACTATTTATAATTATGGTAAAATTCTTTGCAAAGGGCTTGGTTTTGTAATACAAGTACTTCTTAAATGGTCAGTTTTGACTTTTGTTAGTTTAGTTATCTTAGGATCCTTTCCTAAGACAGGCTACCCATGTTAGTATCAGCTATGTAAAGATACGGGGAGCTCTTTTCCCCAGGAGAAATCTCTGGTAATTTTTGCTGCTTCTCTGCAATTCATCTTCAACAGTTTTTTTTCCCCAAGTGAGTCTATGCAATTTCTGTAGTCACTACACAGTCTGTGCAATTTGAAAATTCACCTACATCCATTAACGCTCCTTGCTATCTTGATAGGATAGTTTTGCCTAGCACTGACCAGTTTAGAAAGCAAATATAAACAAACAACTCGCAGGTTTTTGTTACTGCTATTGCATTTGGATGCTACACTAGGTAGAACAACATCATCAAATATGTTTTAAGATGAGGTTACATGCTTTTATTATTTACTAGCCAGTGCTGATAGCAGTAATTGGGGTCACTGGACTACTGAATTCAGGAGGCTTCCAGAAAACCACATGGACATTTTACATATGTCATTACACTCCTAGAACTCAACCTGAAAAATTTTTTTGTTAAGTCAAGGTAGTTGTACAGTGCCAAGAGTCTAGGTTTTGCTATCAGACAGCTCTAGATTTGAAATCTGCCTCCTGCTAGCTGTGTGACATTCTGCAAGTCGCATAATGCTAATGACAACAATAACAATACTACTGCTAATAAAAACATAACAACGTTAGACTGTCAAACAGGCATCTAGTGGTCACCAAATGTTAGGCAGAGTTTGCTTAATATTGTTTATACCTACTATCTTATTTAACCCTCAGACAAATGTGAGACAAATACTATTATCATTTTATAAATGAGTAAAAAGGAGAACTTAATACTTCAAGTACACACAGTTAGCATATATGATCTGTGGCAGGAACCCACTATTCCATCTCCAGATTTCAAGCTTTTAACCATAGTCAACTGCCTCTCTGAACCTCAGTTTCCTAATCTGCACTCTAAGTGCAAAATAACTATCTCGTAGGGTCGGGAGGAGGAGCAGGGATCTCACAGTTACTGCTTCTAACACTGGTCATTTATCATTGCTGCTGGTAGTGTTGCTATTATATAACCTTAGTCAACTTCTAACAGGAAGGATGTATGAATACTTCCTTCTTTGCACTCATGTTTTTAGGAATAGAGCTAAGCCCTACTCACTTAGGAAAGGCTGGTAGTATCTCTAGTTTCAGCAGGGCCAATGAACAGGGTCAACTAGTGATTCAAGCACCCCATATGTGACCATCTGCAAGCCTGCCTAGAAATACAGACTCTCCAGTAACCTGCTTTCTTTGGTAAGATAATTAGTTCTTTCCTTTGGAGCTATGGGGAGTTAGGCATGAATCTGGGGCCATGGTCCGAGATACATTCTGTGTCTTTTTGCTTCTTCCCGCGAAGAGAAGATCTTTCCTGCTGGTGGTTCTACCTGTCATTCTTCCTGGGATTTTGCCCAGTTAACTTAAGGGTGTTATCTGACCCTATAGCATCATAAGACTTTTTTTTTTTTTTTTGAGATGGAGTCTCGCTCTGTTGCCCAGGCTGGAGTGCAGTAGCACAATCTCAGCTCACTGCAACCTCTGCCTCCCGGGTTCAAGCAATTCTCCTGCCTCAGCCACCCGAAGTAGCTGGGACTATAGGCGTGCACCACCATGCCCAGCTAATTTTTCTATCTTTAGTAGAGACGAGGTTTCACCATGTTGGCCAGGATGGTCTCAATATCTTGACTTTGTGATCCGCCTGCCTTGGCCTCCCAAATTACTGGGATTACAGGCGCGAGCCACCACGCCTGGCCAGCGTCATACGACTTCCTAAAGGCTACTGCTAACCAAGCATCTTAATGCAAAACACCTTGTCCAAAGCAGCAGTCTGTTTCAATGGCCATGACTTTAGTAGCAGTCCCTTCTTAACACTAACAGCTAACCGAGAGCAGTGTTATAAAGCATCAGTGGCTACTTAATTGTAAGCTTAAAGGCTGGATGTGTAATTATTAAAGATATACGCTTACGTTATAGAAATACTTTTGGACCACACAAAAAGTATAGAACAGTCGCCATTCAAAGCCTCCCAGGCACCAGGCGATGCTTGTGCAGAAAGGCCAGGACTGACGAGACAGCCTCTAATCTGCAGGGGACAATCTGCTGGTTGTCACCCAGTCGTCTCTGTCCCCGCAACATATGGGCAGGCAGGGGATGGACAAAGCTACATCTGGAGCTCCTTCTGCTCACTGCCCTGCAGCCATGAAGGCTCCAAACCATGGCACATATGAAAAGTACTTTATGTGTTACACAGTTATTTAAATACCTCCCAGGCTAAAATGTCCCAAGCAGCTTTTCCTAACATATGGACCCAGGTCTTCCTTCATCAGAATCACCTGGGTGACTGATGAACATGCAGATTCTTGTGCATATTTGTCTATTTATCAGTTTATTTGTCTCCCTTGGTAGCATGGAAGCCCTGGAGAGTAGAAGCTGTCTCGTTTACCCTGCTACCCCAGTTCCTACAACACTGCTTGGCACTCAGCAAGTGCGCAATAAATATGTGTGGGATGAATTAATTCTGGGGTCCTATGCTGACCTACTAAATCAAAAGCCCTAAGACTGGGGCCATGCATTTTGAACAGGGACTTGGGCGATTATTATGCTCACTAAATTTTAAGAACCAGCATTCTAAGGTAATTCGGTCAATTCTAAAATAGAGAAAAAGATGGCAAGTTTCCTCCCCCAAGGCCTCCCTATTCACTATCTGGTCAGACATTAAGGTAAACATATTACTAGCCTTAGGTTAAACTTTCCCTTCTAGTCATATTCCTCCAACAAATGTTTATCTACCACCTGCCATATGTCAGGCTCTGGGTCCTAAGTAGACAAAACAAATATAGGTTTGGAAGGCAGAGTGTCCAGGAGAGACTAGAGCCACCCCCATTTCTTTCCAATCTGCCAGAGGTGCATGAGTTGGTGGTTTGACAAGCCTACTCCCTCCTCCTGCCCAAATCTCCCTGATATAGGAAAGAAACAGACTATACGTTCGTTACTGTTTTCCCTGCAGGTTTGGATAACACCTCTGGTTCGTGAAAGTCAGCTGTGATCCTGAAAGATTTATCTTATCTTAAAATAATCCAAACTTTCCAAACAGGTTTCCTATATGTTTGGCACCTTTGAGTTTGTTCTGGAAGCTTAGATTATATTTCTAGTTACTCCCTGGACTTTTACCGGTATTTGATCTTGGGCAGTCACTTCTCCTCTCAGGCTGTTGCCTTATTTGAAAAATGAGAAGGTTCAACTAGAATCAGGCATGTCTTGGAGCCCCTTCCAATTCGAATGGACCCTCATCTCTGACTCCTCAGTGCCATCTTAATGCCTTATACTTAATAAAATGTTAAGTATGATATGATTTAATGAGCAAATAATGATTGTCAAGCTGGTCTACCCAAAATTCTCCCAAGCAAAGGTGTTTAACTTGTGGTAAACTTGGGTAAAATTCAAGATTTGCCAAAAACAATTTCTAAGAGTTCTCATTCTCAATTTTCTTGTTTACCTGCAAAAATACTATGGCAATTTAATGTGCTTTAAACTTTATGTAAAAGGTAAAGATAATACCCACATTTTCTCAGAAATTTGAACATTTTGTTTATATCAGAGCAGGAGCAAGGTGCTTTAGTACAGCCTGATCTGATCAGGTTGGAAATCACTGCTTTAAGGGATGCATTTACCTGCCCAGATGAGGCATGACTATCATTTCTGGCACGTTTTGCAGACTCCTGACCATATTATGTTGTTCTCCGTAGAACGATTACCATGACCCTCTGCTGTGCACAGAACCTTCTTATTAAGTCATCCTCTTAATTCAGTTAAAACAAGCCTGATTTGGAGCAAAATGTTTGGCAATGAAAGGAGAGTTCAGAAAAACCTTTTTATTCCAAATCTTTTAATAAACCGACTTGCAATTTCACTACCATTGAAACAGCAGGAAGAGAAAATCCATTCTGAAACATCTGGATGAGCTACCTAATGACATTCCAAGTGCTAAAAGCATAAAGAAGGCCAAAAATTCATGGGCTCACGTTTCAAACATCCTTTCAACCCTAAAAATGCTTCTTTCCTAAAACAAAAACACAGATACTGCTTTGCTTACTATTATAATAATCATGGTACGGGAGGCAGAGAAACATTCTTTAAGTCAAAATAGCTCTCTGGAGGTTGCTAACATGGCCAAATACATCCTTCCTGGAAACAGTCAACTAGTTGTTTTCACCGAGTATTGTTATCAACAGTTTAGGGTTGGACTTTACTCTCCTACGGCCACTTACATTGTAAAGAGGATGAAGCAAATTATTCAAAGCAAATCTGTATTTCTTTTTCCTTCCAGAGGGAAAATGATCCCATCTGATCTTGAAAGAAGGATTCTTGAAGCCAAACAGAAAGTAAGTTTCTGCCGGGATCTTTATCCAGCCCATATTTCTATTTTCATCCAGCAGAGAACAAAGTGTGTTTTGGTTTTATTTTAAAAAGAAGATCCAAACCTCAATTTCCCAGGTTTAATGAGAATGTAGAATTCTGCATCCAGCCACTATTTATTTCTCTGGGTTATAGGCTCTGCTTTAGAAAAGTTTAAATTGCTGAATAAATATTATATACAGAGATACAGTGAGAGTTTCCAAAGCATTTGTCTTCCTAGGTACTGAGGGTTGGCATGAAACACACACACATTTGAAAGAGTATTTTCGGAGGCAGGGAAATAGCAGAATGTTAATGTAGTATGTGAGGGACTCTGGTGCCGTTCTTCAAAAGGGGCCAGTTTTTCCTGTCTAGGTGCATGATGTTAGCATTGGCTCTCCAGACATCTTATTTTGCAAGAAGCAATTTAGAACTCTTTTCAGAAGTAACAAGTTTTGAATGCCTGGCCAAGATTCCCAAAGCTCTGGAAAATCATTTACAACCTGGAATGGCTCACAAATCAGAGAATTTGTTTCTAGAATTCTCTGTTTACCATTTGGTAGATATAATCTACAGTTCCTGATTTAATAACATACACATGCATTTATTATTAGGAACTCAGAAATCATTAGTTACGTTCATATGCCCTTATTCGTTTGGTTTTGGTTTACTAAGTGCAGGCAGCAGGAGAAGGTTTCCCTCGTTCTTGTGCAGGTACTAGAACTACTTCTAGTAACATCAACTACAAGATTAAACCTTTGCTGCCACCTAAAGACTGACACTGTAACATCACATTCTATAGACAGGACAGAGTCCTTATGGAATGAGGGACTATGGCGATCCTGTCTGTGGCATTCTGCTGCCTTCTTCCAGCCTGTTACTTCAATCAGTTTTCATTTAGCCATGGCCAGAGAGACTGAGGACTAGTTAGATGGATAAAAGTCATGGCTTAGTATTTTAGCTCCTCCGTGCTGAAATGCCAAATGAATTATCTGGGCATTTTCCAAATAGGATTAATGGGCTGGTCAAAGCTACTTCTCTTCATTCTCCTGCCTACTCACTCTAGGGAATTTATGAAGTTCAGAGGCCTCGGTGTGAATAAGGAACCCTTGAAAGTGAGCAAAGGGAGTTAAAAGGGCCAGAAAGTCTACTGGGAATATATATATGTATCGGGGACATCCTTTGACAGCCTCTGGGTTCACTACAGCTTCTTCTGAGAATCGAAATGTCTGTTCTTATAAGACACAGTCAGGTCCAACAGCATGGCCTAGAGAACTCAGATTCCAGAGAGTGAACATCAATTTGTCGCAGGCCTCGGGGTGTCAGTAACTCTTCTGCTGCTTCCCCAAATTCAGACGAGTCTGTTAGGGAGAGAATTCCCATTGCTTGGAATCAGCTTTTTAAAAGATCCCTTGACTCTGTTTCCCATGATTTGAGGCTTTCTCATTTGCACAGGGATTTGTTCCTTTCCTCGTGAGTGCCACAGCTGGAACCACCGTGTATGGAGCATTTGATCCGCTCTTAGCTGTCGCTGACATTTGCAAAAAGTATAAGATCTGGATGCACGTGGATGTAAGTATCCCGTAGGGACTGGCCACTAAAATGTCCTTGGACGTTTTTCATCTGGTACACACGAGGGAAATTTCTTTTCTTTTTTTTTTAACTTGATCAGCTTATTTTCAGAGTGGTGATATTAAAGCTTTTAAAGATAGCTGAAGCAAATTAGCACACAACCCACACAGTACACACCATGCACCAGAAGCATCCCGAAGTTGATTATACCTTAATGTCCCCAACATGGTAATATTTGTATTTCTATAATCAGTACCCAGGCTGACCACTTTGTTCTCAATTCGTGGAGCCATTGCATTCATGGAGGAATATAACCTACGCACACAGTCCCACTCTTCCTCACTTACCAGAATGGTCAAAAGAGTAAAAAGGAGTTGCATTTATGTAGGAAACCCAGAGAATTTTTTAAAAAAAAACAAAAAACTGAAGCTGAAGTTAGATATTCCTATATTTAGAGAGGAAAATGGCTTGACAACTTCCTGCGAAATAAGGACCACCAAAGTTCCAATTCCTTAGTTTGGTCAGCTAAGAAGATAGATTATATTTGAAACATTTTGACTTCAGGCCTTGTCACACTAAAAAATAATGAAGGTGTTCCCTCCAGAACATTTTCCAATGAAAAAAAATGTGTTAAGTTTTAGAAGGACTGAAGGGATTTAAGTTTAGATTAGTATTACTCCAAGTGTGGTTTGAAGATTAGCTACCACCTGCAAACTATTAGTGATCCATATGAGATAGAGTTTGTGCCAAACCCTTATCAATCACAAACCATCACAAACTAAGCGCGATACTTGGTTCAGCTGATAATTTTTTCATTGCAAGACTTTCTCAGTGAAGGAAGGCACAAGTTGATGTTCATTCGAGCGCAAGATCCTTATATTGTCATGGGCCAGCACTGGGTCTAAGCCAGGGCTATAACAATGATCTAGCCCTGGCTAGATCATTTTGGCTTTACAATAATTATTCAGGCCAAATTAATGCTCTTTTTTTTTCCTTTTTGAGACAGAGTCTTGCTCTGTCACCCAGGCTGGACTGCAGTGGCGTGATCTCAGCTCACTGCAACCTCCGCCTCCAGTGTTCAAGCAAATCTCCTGCCTCAGCCTCCTGAGTAGCTGGGATTACAGGCGTGCGCACCCACGCCCAGCTAATTTTTGCATTTTTAGTAGAGACGGGATTTCACCATATTGGCTGCTCTCAAACTCCTGACCTAAGGTGATCCACCTGCCTTGGCCTCCCAAAGTGCTGGGATTGCAGGCGTGAGCCACCATGCCCGGCCTCATTAATGCTCTTTTCTTTAGGAGCAGAACATTTCCATAGACTTAGCATTTCCATTATTCCACAGTATTCCTGCAAAGCAATCACCCATCTTCTTTACCCTCCCTGATTCACGTGTGAGTCGTTCATTAGGCTACCAGAGCCCCTTTCATTTTACACATGAGGACACTGAGAAAAGACTGAACCACCCAGTGCCATTAGTGACCTGGGCCTCAGGACTGGAAACCCTGTTAGGCCTTGCTGGCTGATTCAGGAAGAGGATTACCTGACAACTTCAGAAATGAGAATGTCTGTGTGTCCTGAGCCAGCAGAAGCTATGGGCCATTCCTGTGGGCCTCCTACTTAAATTAGAACTAGGGAATCTTTTAACCAGTTCTATTAGCTTTTCTTTGAAACATACCAAGTTTACCACTTACTCTTATTAGCTTTAACATTCATACAGTCTATAAAGTAGAAAGAATCTTAAAATAGTACACGTTTGGAATATTAGATAATTTTTCAAAGTGCAAAAGAACTGGGCCAGGCGCAGTGGCTCATGCCTATAATCCCAGCACTTTGGGAGGCCGAGGCAGGTGGATCACCTGAAGTCAGGAGCTCAAGACCAGCCTGGCCAGCATGGTGAAATCTCATCTCTACTAAAAAGACAAAAATTAGCCAGGCGTGGTGGCGGGTGCCTGTAATCCCAGCTGCTTGGGAGGCTGAGACAGGAGAATCGCTTGAACCCGGGAGGCAGAGGTTGCAGTGAGCCAAGATCGCACCATTGCACTCTAGCCTGTGTGACAAGAGCAAAACTCTATCTCAAAAACAAAACAAAACTAAAAAAGAACTGAACTTACAACAAAAGGTGGGGGAAGCAATTATATCATAAAGGAATTTTATTATCCCTTTAAAATTATCCTAGAATTAATTGTACACACAGAGGAAAGAAAGTTAATATTTCCAAATTAATCTCCATCTTGGCATTCTGTTTTTAAAGGAGATTACTACACCAATTCAAATCTTCAACCTTGATCAAGTACAGATTTTTAAGACGTGTGTTCTAATTGCTTAGCTAATTAACTGGTATGAATCTTTGCAGCTTGTGGATTTTGGGTGGGGTTTTTTTGGACCCAGAAATTATCCAAAATCACACATCAGTGAAATAGAGTTATGAAGCCACTTCCTATTTCTGGAATCATTTAGACTTGCAACCTGGAAGCTGTTTAATGCCCCTCCTGCCCATCTTCTCTGCCTTACACTGTGGGGACCACAGGGTTTCTCATTCTGAGAACATGACTTCACGAGGACTAACAGTGCTGGTGATAGGTTTGGGAGAGGGTCTTTCTCCCTCTCCTGTGGACCAGGAACTATGCCTCCAAGGTGGCTCCTTACACCCATATAAATGTGGGATGGAGTCTGGAGACCTTAGAATGGCCCTTCAGTGTAAACTCTGAAGGTTAGTGCCAGAAGAAGGTGGTCAACTTCCTGAGTGGCCTGGGGTCAAGGAGATCATTTTCACCCTAAGAGATTCTCGTTAGTCTGGAAGACACCAGACTATAGAAATCTAGGCAATGACAAACTGCTGCCATTTTCCTTGTATGATCTTTTTTCAGGCAGCTTGGGGTGGAGGATTACTGATGTCCCGAAAACACAAGTGGAAACTGAGTGGTGTGGAGAGGTATGTTGCATTTTTCTTATTAACAACATAAAGTCATAAAGTGTTAAAAGCTAACTGTGAAACACAAATTACAATCAATTTCCAGGAACTCTTGGAATACTGAGGGAGCTCACTCTATTCAGTGCTTTTGTTCCTTGCCTTATGTGATGTTACACTCATGAATATGGGTAAACAACAGAAAAATCAAATATGTAAATATTATGTGTAAACAACAGAAAAATCCAAATACACATCAAGTGACCCAGGTAGAATGTCTTCCAGACATAGAGATTCCTATCTAGGGTTTATTCCTGGGATCTCTGAACCAACCACAAAAATTGTTTAAAACCTGCAGGCAGCCCATGTTTTTCTAGGGAGAAAATTTATAGCTTTCATGTTTCATAAAAGGATAATATCCACTGCTTAAAAAAAAAAAAAAAAACAAATAATTTTGCAAAGCAAATAAGCACCTTGTAACTTATCAGTGTTGAAAGTTTGGGCTTGGGGTCTAAGATGGCCAGTTCACTTAAAGTGAAACATACTAGCAATAGCCTCATCTCATGGTTTCATTCCCGGAATAACCTTTCTCTGACACAGCTCCGACTGATGCTGCAAAGCACCTTTTATTTAGAGCCTACGCAGAAGACTGTTGAGAAATGCTGAAAAACACGAAGGCAGTGATATCTGATTAGCATAAACCACTTTCAGGTCCAAAGAAAAGAGAAAAACAGAATGCAAAATACAGGCTCTGGTTCTGAACCACATGCAAGGGGAGCCCAGTTCTCTCATCACAACATGGCAGGTCAGACACAATGGTGAGCTCTGACACTCCAGGCGACCAAGGAAACCTGAATTCATCAGAGGCTGCCAAATGCCCACCATCCCCTGCCAAGTCCCCAGATGCTGCCCAGCAAAAGCGTCACACTGGCTCTGCCACTAGACATCTTGGCACAGTTTCTGTTCCAGGACAAGGAGAGACGCTGATGGAGCGCAGAAGCACTTGTGAGCCCTGGGCATGCAGGAGGCCCAGGCCAGAGTGGCTGTGTAGGGTGTGTGATGTGACACCCAGGCCTAAAACGCACAGAGAACCCGTGAGTGTGGAAAGAGAGGGGTAGGGTTACTAGGCTGGAGTCAAGAGCGTCCCGCTGAATTAATGGAAAGAAAGCAAAAAAGAGTTGGGTTACACCAGCTAAGGCCCATGTCAGAAGGGTCACTGTCCCTGAGTCTGATGGCCAGGGTCAGGACCTAGCCTGGGCACAGCTGGGTTAAGGCACCTGGAGCCCCCCAAGCTCTGATTGCAGGGCCCCATTTAGACGCCGGTGGATGAGGGCAGGCGTGTCTCCCTCCCAGAGTCAGCCAGTGCCAGGCCTCTGCTCTTGGACCTTGGGGCTTCTCCCAGGCCTAATCCCTTTCCATCTTGAAGATCTGCAAGAAAGCAGAAGCTTAAGGAAGAGGCAATGAAGTAAACAGGGAGAGACGAGAGAGAGAAAGAGAACAACTTGAAAGGTGGCTGCCCGCACGATCAGAACAAGAATTAAATTCATGTGCTTTCAAGAGAGGTGGCCTATCTACAGGTCTTTCTCTTCTGAGTTTCTGACTGGCACAAAAAGTCTGTTACTTTACCTTTGATGCCACCTGCGACTGCACGTGCTGAAAGTACTGGCACATCTTCCACTTAAAAACTCACTAAATTACCTACCCTGAGCCTTAGAAAAATAAACACCCACACGATTCTGTACCAAAGACTATTATTTGAGAGCAAAGCTTAGAACGTTCATCAGGGAACACAGAGTTCCCTCTTACTGCCACAATTCTTGAAACTGTACTATAACAAAACTTTTCTAATGGAATAACCATATATGAAGTCCTAAAAATGAGGGGGCTACTGGTGTTCCACTCTAAGCAGAATCCCCTTAGCTACCCATTTACCTGAGGATACCCCTCTCTCACTGACTTATTAGCAAAAGGCATACTTTCAAAGTGAATACAGTTGGAAGACCAGTGGAAACCACTTAATGTGTATGGCCGCAAGTTTAGGAAAGAAATGTGTCTCACTTAGGGAATGACATTTTTTTCAAGTTCCGCAAACCAAAGTTTAGAACTCACTCTAAAAGTAGAGGAAATCCGTGGTCAATTCTTGTCCCCAAATCCAGAGGCTCCTTCGTAGTCACAGGGGATGTGAATGCCATTCTCACACAAAATGGCACAAGGGGACCGGGCACAGTGGCTCTTGCTTGTAATCCCAGGACTTTGGGAGGTGGAGGTGGAAGGATCATTGAGGCCAAGAGTTCAAGACCCACCTGGGTAACAGAGTGAGACTCCATCTCTACAAAATGAATTTTTTTTTAATTAGCCAGGCATGGCGGCATGCATGGCTGTGGTCCTAGCTACTCAGGAGACTGCGTGAGGCAGGAGGATCACTGGAGCCCAGGAATTCAAGGCTACAGTGAGCTATGATGGCACCACTGCACTCCAGCCCGGGCAACAGAGTGAGACCCCATCTCTAAAAAAATTAAAACAATAAAATAAATAAATAAATAAATAAATAAAATGGCACAAACATCTGGAGCCCTGTCTGGCATCCCCTTTGAGAACCAACCAAATTCTCAGAAAACAGCTCTCTTCCTTGCTAGCACTGTCAAAATGTCTAGAGATGGTGCTGCTGAGAGGGCACACCACAAGCCCTGAGACTCCAGAGCATGACTCTGTGTATTGTATTTTTATTTCTTTTTTTTATTTATTTATTTTTGAGGTGGAGTCTCACTGTGTCACCCAGGCTGGAGTGTGGCGGTGCAATCTTGCCTCACTGCAACCTCTGCCTCCTGGGTTCAAGCAATTCTCCTGCCTCAACTTCCTGAGTAGCTGGGGTTACAGGTATGCACTGCCATGCCTGGCCAATTTGTTTGTTTGTTTGTTTGTTTGCTTGTTTGTATTTTTAGTAGAGATGGGGTTTCACCATGTTGGCGAGGCTGATCTTGAACTCCTGACCCCAAGTGATCTACTCGACTCAGCCTCCCAAAATGCTGGTATCACAGGCGTGAGCCACCACACTGGCCTCTGCATCATACTGACTCATCTTTAGTCCCTCCTGCCCACAGGCTGCTGCTTACCGTAATCATCCTCTGATATGTTGTACTCTCAAGGCTTTCAGTCCCAGCTGAAGGTGCTGGTGCAGTTTCTGCCGCATCACCAGTTACCCTCACTCCTGCCCTGAGAGTCAGGTGTTCAGGATTTAATTAGATCATTGCTGAACCTCTGTCATATGCAAGTCACAGCGCATGGCACTGCGTGGGTGCAGAGACGGGTATGGTATAAAGCCTATCTTCAAGGAGTTTAGAATCTAGTGGGGAAGATTGTCAGTGAACAGTGGATTAAAATTCAAAGCAAGGAAGCAAAGGCTGGAGAGACAGACATGGGAGCTGATTGGAGAGCACAGAGAAAGGAATGGTTCCTTCTGTGATTACAGAGAGGTTTCGCCAAGCAGAGCAGCATCGGAGCTGAGCATCACGGCATACAGGGTACTTCATCGGGCAGAAATGGAAAAGGGCATTCAGGCTGAAGAGACACGGAAGTGTGAAAGTGCACAATGTCTTGGAGAAAGTTCAAACAAGTTTGGCTGGAGGATGACATGGTTTCACAGCAGTGGCCAGGTCATGGGTGGAAAGTACAGAAGTCTTGGCCAGCCCCCAGGGCCTTCCCACAGAGCCAGGTCAGAATCCACGGGGCTTCTTTCCACGAAACATAGATCCCTGAGCTGGGAGTCACTGCTGTGTGGCTGCCATGATGTGTGGATATTATTAGATTCCTTGGGGGGACAAAACCCATCGAAAACCTTTGCTGCAGGAGCCCTAGCAGGCTTTGAGCAGAGGTACAATGTGATCTCACCTGTGTTCTGGCGTTAACTCCGCATTAGAGAGGAGATGGGAGCCAGGGACAGACTGGAAGCTGTTAAGCTCTTAGGAACGTCCAGGTGCAGGACAGGAGAGAAGCTGAGTGTGACTTAAGCTGTAGTAGCAGAGAAGGAAGTAAGTGGATGGACCTAGGAGACGGGGAGAGAGAATCTAAGGGGCAATATCAAGACAGGGGGAAGAAGAGTGAAACCAAGGACGACAGTGAGGTTTGGAGGCTGGAGGCCTGGAAGGAAAGTGGTGCCAGGAACACAGAATATAGAGGAGAAAGAATCAATCTAGAAGGTTGAGCAGTGGCGAGTGGGGCCTATGGATTTGAGGCACAAATAAGAGCACAGGGAGATGTCTTACAACAGCCCTGCGGGATTCCGTTCTCTCCAACTTACACAAACTGCAGAAGCCACATGACCGAATCCCACAGCAAAGCGTTTTAAAATGAACCTGAGGCTGTTTTTTTGGTTTTTTGTTTTTTGCTTTTAACAAATTGCCAACATTTCTCAAATCAAGGCCATGTCATCGAATCCATCTGCAGGGCTTTTTGCCATCTTTTTGCCTCTGAGAGAGAGGTGGGACAGAGAATTCAGTGACAGGTAGTTGTGAGCCTTGGCAGCTTCTCTTCTGAAAAGACAAATAGGCCCCCGCGTAGAGATAAACACCACAGTCAGACATGGAAGACAGCTGGTTTTCTCTCCCATCAGGCATTCTTATTGACAAAGCTAAGTTTATCAGAGTTAGACATCTAGCCGTAGAACATGATGGAATGTATAGAATGGCTGTGTGTACATACGTGCACGGTGTCACCAAGTTCACAAATGACAGAGATGAAATCCATAGCAAAAGCCAACCTTATTTAATGCTCACTGCCTGTTAAGCACAGTTCTAAGCACTTTACCTAAATATTTATTACTATTCTCCTTTTCTAGATGAGGAAATCTAGGCACAGAGAGGTTAAGTAACTTGCTCAAAGTCACACAGCTAGGAAGTGATGAAACCTGAATGAAAACCCGTACTATCTGGCTCCTGAGAGCTTCCCCTTTAACTATTATGTCTGCTTTATAGCCTAGGGTCCTGACTCCAGGGTCATTCTACAGAGCAAGGAGATATTTTCTTGGAGGGAACTTTCAGTACCTCAATGCTATTATTATTCATTAAGTCATTTAGTCTTCTCTCCAGGGGTAGTTATCTGACCATGAACTGCCTTTGCTTCTAGTTCCTCAATTCCAGTCATAAATGTATCTGACAACCAGTGTCAGAGCCAGAGAAAGACCAGAAGCTGAGCTAGACTATTCGTTGGCTCAGATAAGATCCCCAGGCCAGTGAGCGCTCTGACTGACTGACACATGCCCTTCATCAAATGAATGAATGGGGTCTTTCCCAGCTTCTCATTTTTTCCCAAGGCTGTCACACCCAGAGAGGTGGGAACTGGGTGAGCCCACGTCCGTCGTATGGCCAGATGGGGCTGCAATCCATGGCTGTCTGGAGGCAACTGCCACGGGTTATTCTACTGTAATACTTGCCTTCCTCCTTTATGCCACTCATGAAACTCCACTGCCAGGACCCCTCCGTCTCTCCGGAGACAAGCACAGAGGCTCACCTTACCCAGTAAATGTATGAAGTGAGCCATGGCATTCACAGTGGGAGCAGTTGCTTTTCCCAGAATCAAAAGAGGAGCACAGTGGAAGTGCGGGAGAGAAGTTGCAGAAGTTAAACAAGGCCACAGAGATCATACTGAAAGAATCTGGGGCCTTAAAAAATTAAGCAAGATTCAACAAAGTGAAGCAAAGGGAGATGGTGTTCCAGGAAGAGGAAATAGCATAATGAGACCCAGCAGTATGATAATAGAATTCTCTGAGAACAAAAGATAATCTGGCATGATGAAATGGATAAAGAAAAGCGAAGGGACACAAGACCTAAGGCGTAGCTAGGGCTTGCCCCAAGGGCTGCGGGAGCCATACCCTGCAGTTTGGAATTTGGGCTGGAGGCGAAAGAAAACTGTCAGTGATTTCGGAGAAGGAGAGGGCCATAAACAGAGATCGAAAATAATTCTGGTGCCAAGTGAAGGATGAAATGGAGACCGAGTCAGTTACAACACAATTGCTGAATCCAGATTAAAATAATGAGAATTATTATTAAAGGAATCTGAACCAGGACTACAGCCCAGACTTTTGAAATCATGTAAATTCCTGAGCAGGGAATCTCTGCTGTGTGAGCCACTGTTGCTGATGAGAGAGCATCAAATTTCCCCAAGGTGTGAGGCAAAAAAAAGACGCAACTCTCCCCTGCTGTGGGAGCCACAACACATCTCATCTGCAGTCTGGAAAGAAAATAACTCTGGATTAGGAGACAGATGGAAGCACGGGCCTCGCCGGAAGCTACTACGAAAGGACGTATTTGAGAAATTGGGCATCAATTGATTAGAAAGGAAAAATTGAGTTAAGCAGTGAAATGAGCCCTGTCTTTGAGTTCCAGGCCACTGCGATAGCAAGGACCACAGAGGTACAGGAGGCAGCCGCCCTCTCTGGCCAGGTGCTCTGGCCATCACTGGCCAAAGGAGAGACTCTGGACTGGATGATCCCAATGACTCTAAGCTGTGCCCTGAGACCACTGTGGAGGCAGGGTGCATGCCGCCACTGGAGCTGGGGCACGCCACATGGAGACCCACACCCTCACCTGCTATTTCTGTGGACAAAGAAAAGTTGCAGTGTGAACTCCGAAAAACTGAGATAGGTCTCGGTTAATTTTGAAAGTTTATTTGGCCAGGGTTGAGGACTCACGCCTGTGACACAGCCTCAGGTGGTCCTGACAACATGTGCACCAGGTGGTCAGAGCACAGTTTGGTTCTATGCATTGTAGGGAGATGTAAGACATTGATCAACATATGTAAGATGAACACTGGTTTGATCTGGAAAGTCAGGACAACTCAAAGTGTGGAGGGGCCTTCCAGGTCATGGGTAGATAAGAGACAAATGGTTGCATTCTTTTGAGTTTCTGATTTGCCTTTCCAAAGGAAGCAATCAGATATGCATTTATCTCAGTGAGCAGAGGGGTGACTGAATAGAATGGGAGGACAGGTTTGCCATAAGCAGTTCCCACCCTGACTTTTCCCTTTAGCTTAGTGATTTTGGGGGTCCGAGATATTTTCCTTTGACACATCTTTAAGAGTCTACTTTGTGTTTACTAAATACAGTGTCGTGGGAGCATGGGATGGGGGAGAGGGTTGAAAAATTATCTCTTGGGTACAGTGGTCACTATTTGGGTGCTGGGTACACCAAAAGTCCAGACTTCACCACTACGCCCTATAGGCATATAGGAAATCTACACTTGTACCCCCTCAATCTGTTTAACTCTGTAAATTAAAATAAATACATACATTTAGTGTCGATCTGGATTCTGAGAAACAGTACCAAGAAACTGAAGCTCGGTTGCACGTGCCCGGAGCCTGTCAGGGTGGAGTGCCAACCGCTTACGTGATTTGTTTATTTTAGGGCCAACTCTGTGACGTGGAATCCACACAAGATGATGGGAGTCCCTTTGCAGTGCTCTGCTCTCCTGGTTAGAGAAGAGGTATGTCTCTCCTGACGCTGTGTCCCAGTTCGTGCGTGGGTTTGACTGTCTTTATGCGGTTAACTTTCTCTGGAAATATCAGGATCACCAGGTCTTCTCTATGGTGCTACTCACATTCCCCAGAGAGCCCTTTCTAGATTCCTGTCTGCAGGGTGAAGGTCTGGTGCCTAACAGGGAAGAAAGGGTAAGAGGACCTCAACTTTCAGAACATAAACTTTGACCTAATCTCCATGTTTTCAGTATGATACCCCTTTCCTCAACTGTTCCTCCATTCCCCCAATCCAGAGACCCTCTATGTCACTCTCTCAAAAAATTAAATTTCCAGGTTTTTTTTTTTTCTGGAATCTGAGAGATCATTTTTCCTATATAAGAAATATACATGATATAGGATTCAGGTTAGTGTTAGGATCCAGGTCCATAACATGTATATGTATGTGTGTGTGTTCTGTCTCTCATGATTACAGTCTATCTATTCAATATTCAAAGCCATGTTCAGAGTGTAAGGAAGCTGCATCCTTATTAACCAGAAAAGAGAAGCAGCATCAACGAGCACTTTCATTCAAGATGGTTCTGTTGACCAGGCCTAGGGCCGTTCTCAGTAGGTGAGCACTGTTGGTGAAGGCCACTGCATCTCCCTTCCATGACGCCAGGCCGGACTCATAGTTCCTCACTCCTGCATTTATTTTGTTGATGAAACCCAAATAAGGAGCTTCAGATGATCCCCATTAAATTTTATTTTCTTAGCCTTAATAAAGCAACCCCAGATTAAAAGAATTTTTAAATGTTGATCTTCATTTACTTTTTTTTTTTTTTTTTGAGACAGAGTCTCATTCTGTCACCCAGGCTGGAGTGAAGGATGGTGTGATCTTGGCTCACTGTAATCTCTGCCTCCTGGGTTCAAGTGATTGTCATGCCCAGTCTCCCAGATAGCTGGGACTACAGGTGCCCACCACCGCACCTGGCTAATTTTTGTGATTTTACTAGAGAGAGGGTTTCGCCGTGTTGGCCACGTTGGTCAAGAGCTCCTGGCCTCAAGTGATCCGTCCACCTCAGCCTTTCAGAGTGCTGGATCACAGGCATGAGCCACCATGCCCAGCCAAATATCTATCTTCATTTACTTAAAAATACTTTGCTTTTTTTCTAATTATACAGTTAACACACTATGTCAGAAAGTTGAGGCAGAACAGAAAATATAAATAAATTTAGTGTCACCTCAAATTTTTATAACTTAGGGATAACCATTATTACCATTTTTAATATTTTCTCCCACAATTTTTTCTAGAAATAAATATATTTAAAATATATAAATAAGTATATATTTATAATAAAATTGCTGTCATCTACCTCATATACTTCATATATACATGTTGATTCTTCTTTATACTTTGCATTATATTATGAGCATGATCTTCCAAAACCTAATTTGTAATGGCCTCATATTATTCTATCATATAATTCAATGAACCATATCTCTATGGTTAAAATATTAACCACAACAGAGTGACTTGATGGAATCCTTAAACATATACCTTTGATCACATTCCTGATTATTTTCTCAAAGTAGACTCAAAGTGGGATTGCTGGGTCAAAGAGTGTTACCACTTCTGTGGTTTGTTCTTAATACCTCACGTTGTCAAATGCAAATTTACACAGCACGCCTTCTGTGTCTTCATCAGTAATAAAAATATGGACACAAGATTGAAGACAGAAACTTCCCCTCAAAATGAGATGAATGCATTGGAAAATATCCTTTTGGGCTTGGTTTTCATCAGTTAAAAATACAGTCCAGTGTATTATCATCTGCCCTAGCTCATGCAAGCCTCAGCTATAATTACCTCAAAGGAGAAAATAAATTTTTGTTATTTAGATTTCAGCCAGATGTTTTGACAGTGGCTCCCATCATGTCCTTACAGACCAAAAGGGAAATGTGAGCTGGAGGAAAATAGAAAGATTTGGAACTGATTAGATGACTGCATCAGAAGGACCTACTGACTGGCAATTTGATGTTACCCAGGATAGAGCCTATGGCTTGGTACCTAACCTGTACCATTCAGAATATTCACGGACTGTTTGATTAAAACATAGAAGCTGATTAATGTTTCAGATGGGAGGAGACTGGGAGGTAGAGTAAATGTGTGTAGGGATGGAATCAGAATACAAGATGATTTTTACAGACTGGACCAGTGAGCCACATCCAAAAAGGGATATTGTTATTGGAGATCATTGTAAGGCTCTGCTCTTAGGTCCGTGTATACTGTGGTTATATTTTGATTGGACAAGGAAGGCTTGTTTCTACAGCTAAATTGTTGAACTTGTGAAAAAGGCAAAGGATGGTAGCTCTACAGGGCCAGCAACGAGTCAAGAGAAAAATGCCACACAAAAGACATTAATGAGATACAGGAAGTGGAGTTTCAGCATGAGAAGGTGGTGGTCTCCCACTCTCCTCTAGTTAAACCATACCCGCAGTGCTCTGCTTTGCTCTGTACCAAATTGTCCATGGGGTTCCATCAAGCTAGATCCCAAACAGTGGGGACCAATTGGTAAACGTGTAAGAGGGATGATTGAAACAACTAAGGATGTTTAGCCTAGGGAGGAAAAGAAAAGAAAAGGGCCGAGAGGAGGATGGCAGCCTTCACCATTTAGAGGACTCTCAAATGGAAGAGACTGGGGTTTTCGTTGAGGCTTTGGGGAGCTGATTTAGTAAACACTGGGTGGTAGAGATTTGATGGCAAAATCAGTACATCCTGCGATTTTAGGTCTGTTTTGGGTTCAATAAAAGGAACACTTCTAAAAATTAAACTGTCCAACAGTAGGAATAAATTAATAAGGGGAGGTGATTAAATAGAGAGATTGGACAGCCACTTATTAGGAAGAGTGTAGAAATGATTCCTTTATTGAGTAGGAATAAATGATCTCTAAATTCCCTCACAAATCCAAGAGTTTATGATGCTCTGACAGCATTTCTTTTATTGGCATCCAAGGAACAGTGCTGTTCCATAAGATGGTAATAAGGGTTCCCCAATAAGAGAGTTCTCAGTTTTAAAAAGGCTGAGATATATTGGTTTAGAGTTAAAAACAACTTACATTATTTCAGGGCTTATTGGGGCCCTTAATAGGCTGATATATATTGCAATATCTAAAAAGAAAGACTAGATGATATAGAGTTTCCTACATTTATTTGAGCATGGTAATCTCTTTATGTACAGCAACTATTAATGTGTTTTAAAACACATTAGTTTGGGACATGATGGTCTATAACCTTTTCATGGCTCATGGCTCAGAACCAGGACATCATCTCACTAAGGCCCTCTGTAGGAAAAATAGCATCACTTTTGCTTGTCATGTTGTACAATAATGAGACTGTGGCTGTCCAGCTTTTTTTTTTTTTTTTTTTTGAGACGTGGTCTCTTTCTGCCGCCCAGACTGAAGTGCAGTGATGTGATCCCAGCTCACCGCAACCTCCACCTCCCGGGTTCGCGCCATTCTCCTGCCTCAGCCTCCCAAGTAGCTGGAGCTACAGGTGCCCACCACCAGGCCCAGCTAATCTTTTGTATTTTTAATAGAGACAGGGTTTCACTGTGTTAGCCAGGATGGTCTTGATTTCCTGATCCTGTGATCCGCCTGCCTCTGCCTCCCAAAGTGTTGGAATTACAGGCGTGAGCCACCATGCCCGGCTGTCCAGCTTTTTTAGGGTTCACGTGTTTTTGAGTTATTTTTTTCTATCACAGTAGGAGTAGGTCTGATCCTTTCAGCATTCCACTGATGGCGCCAGTGTGTGAGCGTGCATGGCCAGAGGAATAATGGTACAAAGTTTCTGTGACCATGAAACCAAATAAAAGCAAGTGTTGCAAATTTTCACGTTATTGGTCTTCAAGTGAATTTTCTTTTTCGAGTTCAGTATATTTCTACTGATCTAATACAAATGCATCGTATTTAATTTTTCTTATTCTGAAAAATAATGAATGGATTCCAATATATGTGAAGCCTAAACTACAAGGTAGAGTCCAGTTCTGTCGTCTACCATTTCAACACTCCGTCTTTCAAAACCAAATTAAAACTGTAATTGCATTGCATTGTGTTTTAGTGTGGACAGTTTTCAGAAGTGTTCTCACTTCTAACTTCAACTAAGTGATCACACTTTAGTCTTGTCTTCTTTTGTCATGAATCACAAAAGAAACAAAACCAAATGCCAAAGCTTTTGTGAAATCACAATTAGAAGAGAACAAAATAGTCAGAGGCATCCAGTGGTTCGTGACAAATTGAAACACGGGGTTTTTAGTGAAGAGACTGGCGATACTATTTTAGTCGGAAAACATGATTCAGTAACTATTCTATGGAATAATTCAATCACTTTGCCGCCCATTTCCATAGTAAAGTTACAGTGCTAGGACAAATGAATGGCCATTGACGATGAGACTTTCCACTTAACTATCTCAAGGAATTGAGCATGCGAACGCAGCACTGAAGCTCTGACCGTTCTTGAGAGAGGAACATGACATTTGAAAGATTGGTTATTTAAATTCATCTCAAAATTGCAACGTGTGTGTGTGTTTTTTTTTTTTTTTTTTTGTAGATTTCAGCATATAAACATGATAGCAATGAGCTGTCTTAAAAGTCATGATTTCCAAAGGCAGCTCAAACTCCCTAACAGCTAAATGATAAATTACTTGAACTAGATATGGATGGAAATACTAGAAGAACCACACCAATAATATTTCACAAAACCAAAGAGTTTCCAAAATATTTTAATCACAACGAAACCAGAATAGTAGGATGTTCTCCCAAAGAAAGAGAACATTTAAATATAAATGTGTGCTCTGATTATGATTTTTATTTATCAGTTGATTTTTACAAATGCCTTCTCTTAAAAGGGAGAATAAAAGTGTAAACGTGTCCTTGTTAACCTCCATGACATTTGACCCTGAGCCATTGTCCCACAGAGTTGACCATTACAACAACCTAGACACTCCTGTCCAGAATTCTTTTTTTCGTTTTGTTTTCTTTCTCTAAGATATGCAATGTCTCTTACTTTTATTTTTTTCTTATTAATTTTTACCAATATAAATCTAATGAGTTGTCAGTAGAATTTCCTAAATTTTCTCTTCTCTCTTGTAGGGATTGATGCAGAATTGCAACCAAATGCATGCCTCCTACCTCTTTCAGCAAGATAAACATTATGACCTGTCCTATGACACTGGAGATAAGGCCTTACAGTGTGGACGCCACGTTGATGTTTTCAAACTATGGCTGATGTGGAGGGCAAAGGTGAGTGTGTATGGACCAGCTAAATGACAACTAATCTGGTCACCGCTATTATGAAATATCAAAAAAGTGATTTCCAAATTGAAATTCCTTACCCAAGATTTCCTTTCTCTTTTTTTTTTTTTGAGAGGAGTCTCTCACTCTGTCACCCAGGCTGGAGTGCAGTGGTGCGATCTCGGTTCACTGTGAGCTCCACCTCCCGAGTTCACATCATTCTCCTGCCTCAGCCTCCCTAGTAGCTGGGACTACAGGTGCCCGCCACCATGCCTGGCTAATATTTTTTTCGTATTTTTTAGTAGAGATGGGGTTTCACCGTGTTCGCCAGGATGGTCTTGATCTCCTGACGTCATAATCCGCCTGCCTCGGCCTCTCAGAGTGCTGGGATTACAGGCGTGAGCCACCGCGCCCGACCTTGCTTTCTTTAAACTTAACATCTAAATACCTTCATTCAACATGAGGAAAAATATAATCAAAACCATTGTTTGTTTCTTTTCTAGCCAAATTGATTCAAATGCTCACTCATCTAGAAAACAAATCCATTTTGCTTTATATAGCAGAACACCTTGAATTTTAACAGGTGTTTATTGTTATTGTTGTTGGTTTTTGTCTGCTAACGTGGTTTTTACCCAGTGATTGATCACCTGGGTAGGTGAATGCGATCTGAAAGCATAGGTTTGGAGAACAAAAAAGAAAAAGTAAAAAGCCCACCATGATAGCTTATTTTTTGACATTTCAAGGTATAACCTCTAGTTACAAAGCTTTTTTCCCCCTCATCTCCCGAAATACCTACTCACCTCCTTTTATGTAGGTTCTGTGTGTCCCTCTGAATTTAACTGTAGTGATCCCTCCTTTTTTCAGCAAGGAAAACTCACTAACTAACAGTGTGCAGGACTTGCTTGGACCTAATTGTAGCCTTCCAGGAGCCTACGTTTATGTTTAAATGTAAGCAGGCTGGATAGGTCAAAGATTTTATTTTTAATTTTGACCAGATTCTTAACTTAAAGGTCACAAATTAGTGCCTGCCCAGCCAGCTTCATTTATCTCCTGCAGGAGATAAATAGACAGAGCTAGCTGTATATACTGTAGAAACTCAAATGCAAAAAGAGGATTCGAGGAAACCTGACATAAGAAAGTGAGAAAGGGAGCAATTAAAGATGTCAACCTTAATAACAGAGTCTCTCTAAAGGAAAAGATGTTGATTTGGAAATAAAGCATTACAATGGGAATACATACGCCATAGTAAACTGTATGCAAATTCAAAGGAGGTAAAGGAAGACAAAAGTTTTCAAAGGAAGAAATGTGGAAGAGTACATAATTGTTTTGAGATAAATATCCTTGGTTACAAAGATCAATAACAAGGGTGATGCAGTCCGAGGCTGGATAGGCAATTGCTAGGCAGATGTCTTTGCAGAAGTATTTTTTTGTGTGTGTAAGGTTGTGGTGACCTTTGAGCAAGGTTGTAATTTTTGCAGTCTTCTGTGACAGTTTTTGTTATCTGGTATACAAGGCATGAGAACCCTCTCTTCATGATTTCCTCTGGCTCTGTCTATCAGGGTTTTCTTAACGTTCGTGACTCCATTTTTATTCTAATGGTGTTCACAAGGGAAAGCTGGGATACCATGAGGTCCTTTATGTTTGGTGGAGAGGATATACATTTGGCTCTCCGGTGTGTAAATAGCCTACTTAAAGAAGTAACATGCTCAGTCCCATAAGAAAATGCCAATAACTTGGTCAGCAGGAGTGAAGCGTACCAGGGTAAGACCAGTGAATGGGATCTTCTGCAAGTCTGTGCAAAAAGGTAGGAACCTTGTCCACGGCAATGAATTCCTTGTGCTTTTGTTTACAATTTTTTTAAAGTAACCTAAATTACTTTAAGCAGCTTAGATGATGGGGTTCTTAACAAGAAAAAGAGGGAGTTTTTGAGTGAAGCAATGCAATCCACAAGTATTTTATGGAATCTCCTTTAAGTCCATTCTGGCAAAAAGGTGCAGTTTAAACAGAAAGATGGTCTTGCTTAATGAAGAAGTAACTCTTGGGTGGTTTCCAGGGATGGCTGGACTGTACGTCCTTCAGGGAAGCCTGCTTAATGGTGTTTACTCCAGCAGAACCTTTTTTACATGTTGCTAAATATCAGGCAGCTACAAGAAGCTAAATATCAGGAGCTTTACATGAAGTGAAGCTCCACAGTGTTGCCCGGTAATGGTGGAGTGATGGGCCCCCTTCCTCTTTTGAAAATTGACAGCCCAACAACGACAGGTACCTGGTCCCCGCCACCTAATGGGAGACTCATTCTGCTAGCAATGACACTTTCATTTGGAAGAAAAACCCAAAGCAATCAAGAATGTAAAGTATTGATGTACCTCCAAGCTGCTTTAAAATGAGCAGGTCTTTCATTTCATTGATTGGTGGGGATTACAAAATGATTAATGTAAATATCAGGTAGCAAGCTGAGAAAACCTTGATTTCTGAATATTGTGCCATGTTCCCTCTTACTTCAAGGATCATTCTTTGTGTCTTTTTTCCCCTGTGGTGTTTTTATTAAGATAATGATCATCAGCAATATTTACACAAAAATGTTTCTGTCACGGTTCATCAGATTCTGCTGCTCCCTTTCCATCTGAAGCCTCCTCTCCAGCAGGGGCAGCCCAGGTTCTTAGAGAAATAACATGGAGGGTATCAAGTGTGAATCGAACAGCAGGACCAGATGAAGCCGGAAATAAAGGGAAGGGCCCCATGAAGTCACTGGGGAAGGGGATAAAAAGAGGAAATCACAGCCACTGCATTACTTATTCTTTTACTTCTTTGTGGAAGTACCTCAAATATCTAGACATCTAAGTGGCAAAAACTTACACTTTGTTTTCAATCTAAACCTTTGTATTTTTTTTTGAAAAATGAAATGATAATCATTATTAAAGTAATAAGCTTAGTTCTACAATCTAGATAAAAGGTGAGGATAATTGTACTCTCACATCAAAGCTCTCCCTCTAGCCATGCCGGCCAAGGAAGAAGTCATCCTTTTCCCGCAACAAGAGCCATGAAAGAGTTGGCTATGATGTTGAATCTTGCCTTCCCACAGGAATGAGGAAACAATCTGGATAAGAGTAAGGAGGAGGAGGAGGAAGAACATAGCATTAATTCAGTAAGCCCTCTGTGATCAGACCTGCCTGGAGAATTCGGTGTTTTCCACATTTTCTCCTAAGAAAAACCCCATGAAAAATAGCCTAAGTATAAATTATTATTATTTGAACTAATCTGCTAATGACTAATGGAGCTAAATGCACTGATGACAGCCATCATATTAAGTCCAAATTAACTTGATTAGAACAAATTTATGCAAAAAATAAGACCCCTGATTTAGGATGCTAAGAGGCATACTAGCTGGTTAAGATATGGATGTTTATCATCAGCAGAGGCCCAGTGCCTACTCTCGACTCTCTTCTTACGGAGTCGGCCTTTCATTTTGTCTGCATTTTATTAAATAATCCTAGGACCTAATGATTACTTCCCAATGTTGACAGATTCCTACAGTGGCTAAAACTCAGTAGCTGACAAAAGTAAGTAAATAAACTTAAAATTACATCTCCCCAACACTTTTTTTTTTTTTTTTTTTTTGAGATGGAGTCTCGCTCTGTTGGCAATCTCAGCTCACTGCAGCCTCCATCTCCCGGGTTCAAGCAATTCTCCTACTTTCCCTTTTTAGGCCTACAGGAATGGCTTCATTTATAACAACCAAGGTTTCATAGCAAATCTCTGTGTTTGTATATAGTCATACAAATCAGCAGTTTTCCTTGGGTTTTTTATGATTAGCTTTGCTAATTAAAAATGTGGAAAAAGAGGGACTGGCAAATGGCTGGAGGAAAAAAAACACCAGGAAAAAACTTATTAAAGGGAAATGGACATCTGGCATCCTTTGCCGAAAATGACAGAATGTTTACTTTCTGTCTAAAATGAAATTTATTTTAACAAGTAGATATTCAGCATCTATTATCGTGTCTAATACTGAATGGAATAAAGAGGCTCTCATTTTCCAGACAGGATAAGACAAATGCACAGAAATCCATCATAAAAGACAGATTAGGACTGATCACAAAAGAAATTCAGACACATCTGGGGAATTTAAAGGATGGAGAGCTCATTCCTAGTTTAAGAATCGAGATGATTTGCAGAGATGGCCTTTGAGATGGGACTTGAACAGGATAGGTAGAAAAAGTAGGATTTCACCCAGCAGTGCTGTGAGAAGGCCATTCCAAGGAGTGGTTGAGCAGGAGTTCAGTGCGTATTATGAGAGTAAGGGAGAGTCTAATTGACTGAAGGGCAACTTGGGAGCTACGTTCCAGGTGAGAAGTAACAGAGCCTGAACTAGGGTGGGAGCAGCAAAAATTGAGATAACAGCAAGGGATTCAGTAGTTATTTCAAAAGCACTGTCTCTGGGGCCTAAGAATGTTTATAAAGGCGTTTCAGGAAGCAGAGAATGATCATGACCCACTCCCCAAGACCACATGGAGGCAGCAGCTGAATACTTGGATGGTGAGATTGCTGAAGAAGATCACATAAACATTGTTCATCTTCCTAAAATTCTGGTTTGGGAGTCTGAGGTGGGGCTTAAGAATCTACATTTTTAACACAAATAATCCGGTTCTGATATAGATCATTCCTCAGAACATACTTTGTAAAAGGCTTCAAAGTTATTCACTTATTCATTCAACAAATATACATTGAGCACCTAATATGCGCTCAGCACTGCTCAGAATGTGGAGGATTTAACAGTGAACAAAAGAAACATAAACCTGTGCCCTCATGGAGTATGTGTTGCAGCCAGGTCAATCTCAACTAGTTCTACACGTGTGAGTCAGGAGGAGCTAAATAAAACCGTCTTTCTCCAGAAACTCCCCCAGCGGAATCTTGACACTGGTGTCCAGCCTTTCACTTAGGAGTGCCTGTCCGAGCCTTCAGCATCCTGCACAGGGGTTCAGGCTAAGGGGACGTGATCCCTGATAAAGTTTGACATGTGCTTCTGTCATTCTCACAGTAAGAGCTGCGTGGCATGTGATTTAATGGATGAAAGTATTTAATGAATGAAAGAATTTTGAAGAATCTCTCAAAAGCCTCTAAAACCTTGAAAATAAAATGTGGATCTTAATCCCATAAATATTCAATATGAACGGGAGGCACCCAGGGCACACTAGAGTTTTCCGTGTCACTCCCCATGTATGTCTTTAGCCCCCAACTGATGGGGCAATCACATGACCCCCATCATCCCCATAGCAAGGTCCCAGACCAGGGGAACCAGAGGTCTCACACTCTGGTCTTTAGTAATCCCATTGCTGTTGCAGGGCAAACTCTTCTTCATGAGAAATCAGAGAGGCATCATCATTCCCATCTGATCAGAGAGATTAGCCAATGCCATTCAGCAGGACAGGTCAGAGTCAGACTGGTCATGCCATATCCAAGATCAGATATGCAAAAGTTTAAACCCAACTCCAGACGGTCCAAAGGATCCAGGTTGGAGAATAGCAATCAGCTTCCCTCCCTTCTACTTACAGTCCATCCCAAGTGAACCCAAACTGTCAAGTCATTCCAAACCAATTATAATCTCCTTAGCACTGACAGATGCACAGAGCTCCTGGTATGGGTGCTGGCCAAGCATCACGCGTGAGCCCAAGCCCTTCCTGGGGAGGCATCAGGAACCCATCAACCTCCTTGAGCCGATCAGCCGGGGCAGCAGTCTCCAAATAAGTGAATTTCTGAACCCATTTGATTTCTCCAGGGCAGCTTGTTCTTAAACCTGCTTCATACGTCACAATTCTCTGGGCTCTGTTGGGCGCCCTTAGCTGAGATGATGTGATCTTCTATGAAACAGGCAAGTGGGCCCATCTCATCTCCATTACAATTGCTTTCTCTAGGTTCCCTGCTGGAGAAGTTACTGGTAGGCAGGTTCAAAGTGCTTCTGAGATGAGCATTGGCTTTTTCTCTAAGATTTCTCCATCAGCACCCAGTAAACACCCAAGGAGATAAGAGGAAAGCTATTTTGAAAAGTAACTCTCTTGTGTGTCCCGATGTCAGTTAAAACAGCTCCAGTCCAGGACTGTTGTGTTGGTTTTCCTAAGTCTGGATCCAGGGCTTCCAGAGCCAGAAACTAAAAGAACTCAGTGATAATATTCACTCATTACAGACACATGAGTCATTTATCTGCCCCCAAAGGAGAACTCTACAGAGCTTGACCGGCTAACAAAGCATCTGGGTACTCCCTAAAATTCCTGCATCCATTTGTTCAAAGAATTCAATGAGTACCTACCCAATTTGTTCCATATCAGGTACACTGGCAGACAAAGATGGGCTCTGGGAATGGAAAATGTACACATTGGAGGGGGACTAAGCAGGCATTCTGGAGGGTCTCCAGTGATGCTTTTTCTCTGCAGGAAGAGAGTAGCCCAGCCCTCCTGTTATTAATGACTTCCATGATTACTCCTGTGAATAGCAGAGGCACATTTTCCCCTTGAGTAGTCAAACTAATTGCCTGGGGAATGGAGGCTCTGGAAGAAAAGGAGTCCCGTGTAGAAAGCAGTAATGAAGGGGAACAAAAGCACCTGACGGGGAGAGCATTAAAGAGAAAACAGCGCTGAAAAAGCCTGTGGAAACAGCCCTGTGTCGGGAAAGTGCCAGACGAGGCTGAGATGGAGGCGGCAGGATGACCATCAGTCTCCAGGGAAATCACTTCCTCCGCACTCTTAGCCTGCCTAATGAGCTGTGTCCTTCTCTTACCTAGGGGACTACCGGGTTTGAAGCACATGTTGATAAATGTTTGGAGTTGGCAGAGTATTTATACAACATCATAAAAAACCGAGAAGGATATGAGATGGTGTTTGATGGGAAGGTATGTATTTGGATTTCTACAATCCCAGAAAGTTTAGTCAATTCCAACCCTCATCACTGATATGATGTAAATGATGTGCTGTCCAGGTAAGTGGGACTGTCACAGAGGGGAGCAGTGGATGACGGGGTAGCTATTCTGAGCTGGAATAAAGACCAAACTCACCAAATAGTCCATAGAACTTTGTCGAAATCATGCCCTCCAATGGCAATTCCTGATTGAAAAGTGGGAATTGTGTTCTGAACCTGCTGAATACATCGATTTGAAATGTTCTTAGAATTTTCAAAATTGCCAGCCTGGGCCAAATATGAATCTTCCTTTCCTCTTTGTAGCCTCAGCACACAAATGTCTGCTTCTGGTACATTCCTCCGAGCTTGCGTACTCTGGAAGACAATGAAGAGAGAATGAGTCGCCTCTCAAAGGTCAGTGCTCCAAGCTCCTCTGATACATGCGTGTATTGAGCCTTTCATGTGCACGTCTTCTTTATGACATATGCCTGTGGCCTTAGGACAGAGCCCACCTGGGTGCATGGGCCCACTCCCATCTGTGGACTCCCACAGAGCCAGGACATATAGAACCTGATGTATGCAGACTTTTTTTTTCTATTTTTCTTTTTCTTTTTTTTTTTTTTAAGATGGAGTCTCTCTCTGTCTCCCAGGTTGCAATGCAGTGGCGTGATCTCAGCTCACTGCATCCTCCAGCTCCTGGGTTCAAGCAATTCTCTTGCCTCAGCCTCCTGAGTAGCTGGGAATACAGGCACCCGCCACCACGCCCAGCTAATTTTTGTCTTTTTAGCAGAGACGGAGTTTCAATATGTTGGCCAGGCTAGCCTCGAACTCCTGACCTCAGGTGATCTGCCCGCCTTGGCCTCCCAAGTGCTGAGACTACCGGCGTGAGCCACTGCGCCCAACCTATGCAGACTTTTAACAACTCTATTTGCTTGTTTTCTGAGAGTGAGTTTATGATGTCCTAAAAGAAGCAATCAGGCGATAAGCTTTGCTGGCATTCACAAAGCAGCGAGGACATTGCTGAAGTTCATTGCTGTTCCAAGTGAAACTGGTGCTCAGTTACAAGCACAAAAGAGACTTCAGGTACCAGAAATGGTTAGCAAGCAATGCTGCTGCTGACCCTCTTGAGCTGCCAAGACCAAGGCTACCCTGGGGGTGTCCTTAGAGCTGTGATGACCCCCAGAAGGTAGGATGGCAAAGAGCAATAATAACAGCCACTGTTTTCAGTGTGTATTGTGTCCCAGCTCAATATCAGGTGTTAGGTCACTTAAAGCCTCAGAGCAACCTGACATGGGAAGGACTGTCCACCCATCTTGCTGATGGAGAAACTGACACACAGGGAGAAAACGTAACTCCCAAAATCTCACAGAAAGTCTGAGGGCTTGAGCTTTAAATTGTACTGTGGTCAGTAAGACACCCTTTATCTTTCATCCTCTCCTGCTCCTAGCACTTATACACGGATGAAATATGACTTGCAATGCACATCGAAGCGAATATGCAGGACCTGTCACCATGCGAAGCTAGGGATGGTTGTGTAGACTTAGATCTCAGAGTTGATTTGGTTGGTTTGGGGGTTCTTTTCATTTATCATAAAAGAGGGAACTTCCTCCAGTCACTGCCAAAAGCCCTGCAGGCTGTCCCCTCACTGCTCAGGAGTTTGGGCTGCCTCATTGACCTTTGGGAACACTTTAGTTCCTTCTATGAAAAATGAAGAAGAGGATTTTGTGTATATATGAAACCTTCACTGAAGCTTTTACATGTTAACATCTGCCCTTAAGCAACCCAGGATCAAACTCTCATCAGGAGAAAACTTCCACTTGGCTGAGGTCTTTAAACCAAGCCTCCTAATTAGAGTAGTGATTCACAATCCTGGTCATACATTAGAATCATCCAGAAACTTTATAAAAGACACTAGTGACCAGGTCTCGCCCTGAAAATGTAATCAGATTGTGCTTGGATGGGCCTGGGAATGACTGAAAGTTATCCAGATGATTCCAATGTGCAGTTCAGCTAGAGAACCCCTGATCTAGAGGAAAAAATGGAAGAAAGCTTCTAGAACCAGGATCCATGGCGCATGTGTCTGAGTTGGAAGGGGATGTGGTTGTGTTTGATGATTTAGTGAAGTTGGTTCATTCCGGGAAATCAAGCTCACAAGGTGGGAGGGAATGAGTAGAGGTCGCATTGGATAAGATGATTGGTGCAGGCAATAACAACGAGAATGGGGGTGTCATTTAAGAGGAAAAAATTCATATTTTTCCTGGAATTTTTATGGTATACCTTCATAATGTAAAATTTCTTAACAATGACTTATTTAACCAGTTAGTTAGAAATTAGATGCCTCCATTCTTTTTGCCTTTCACTTCCTTATTGAACTGACTGACCAGAAAGAGAATCCACAGACTAGTTTGGCTGATTTCATTTGTTGAATCAGCCTAGTATCACTGGGCTGAGGGATGGAGCAAGATGGGAGTACAGAATAAAAACATTTTTTTCATCATTTTCTGAACAAAAATCAACTCGGAGACTCCCCTGTTTATATATCACTCTTTAAATGCCCCCTAGGTTTCAGCACCTCGTATGAGCTGTAATGAGGAATGGGGATGGAGATTGTTTCCTGGAGATGGCAATTAGAATATTAGTAAACTGTTTTTATACTGTTGACAATTCAAATACGAAAATCTCCGGGGATTGCAAAATGAATTCTCCTGATTTTTCTCCATTTTTATCATTGTAATCAAGATAATTCAGCAATTCAGATTTGGAAACGAAAATAGAACCACATGAATACCAAGTTTAACTTTTGTTCATCTATGCCAATGATTTATTTCAGACTTTCTGGAAAGTTCTTTATTAAGTGTGACGCCCTTAAAGTATAATGTCCAGGAACCAGTAAAATATTCATACACATGCGCACGTGCGCGCGCGCGTGCACACACACAGTCCCAGAGGGAAAAGAACTGAGGTGAAATAATCTGTTGTCCAGTATGGTAGTAATAGCCACATGTGGCTATTCATATTTAAATTTAAATCAATTAAAATTAAATTCAAATTCAACTAAAAATACGGTTCTTCAATCGCACTAGCCACATTTCAATTGCTCAACTTGTGACCAATGGCTGTTTTAGGGGATAGCACAGATATAGAACATGATGGAGATCACTGCACAGAGTTCTCTTGGTCCATGCCGATATAGACCCAAAATGGGGGAAATGTGGAGTTTCCTGTGCAGTTTATGGGAACCAAAAGAACAAAGTTAAATTCTGGACAAGACAAGGCAGAGAATTACTCTTTGTACCATCTTGCCTGATTCATAGCTGTAGTGCACAGTAGGAACTCAAAAATCATTTGTTAGGCTAAAATTGTATCTTAGTCTGGTTGGGCTGCAAAAACAGACTAATATAGACTGGGTAGCTTATAAACACAGAAATTTATTTTGCACTGTTCTAGAGGCTGGGAAGTCCAAGATCAAGGTCCCTGTAGATTCCGTGTTGGGTGGAACCCCTACTTCCTGGTTCATCAATGGCCTTTTCCTCCCTGTATCCTCACATGGCAGAAAGAGGTCAAGGGAGTTCTCTGGGGCCTCTAAGACTGTGCCTTCCTGACCTAATCACCTACCAGAGGCCCCACCTCCTAATATCATCACATTCGGGGTTAGGATTTCAACATATAAATTTTGGGAGGACAGAAAAATTCCATCTATAGCGAATACCTTAGGCATATTCCAGAATAAGGAAGGGAAACAACATTTAGGAAACCTAACAGTGGCTTGTAAGCCTTTTTCCAGAGTGCACTAGTTTGGGGACAAATATCTGGATAACAGAAGTTATTAATAAATCAAGTACAGTCATACCTTCATGGGGGTGGTAAACACGAGAATCCAGTCAGTGTGCTTCCTGCCCTGTCAGGACTATGATCTTGCAGTTGGCGCTGTGTCGCTGAGGCAGTGTAGACGATGAAAGCTTGGAGCATTATGGGGATGTGACACCGCACACATGCTTTAGACACAGGGAGGGACGCAAGTAGGCTGTGCCAATGTTTACCAAACAAGAATCAAAAGGGCTGGCCTATTGATAACTTCTTGTGTTTCTGGTTCTTCATCTTCTTATTTTAATTTTTGTTATTGTTGATCACTATCTGGTTCTGTCAGCTTTTATAGTCCTACACTGATTGGTGGACTTTTAAAAGGTTAGCAGTGGATTTAATACTAAATTTGTAAGGAAGCAGCCTGGCCTTATATTTAACACAGACTCTTTGAAAGTCTGTGTTATTACGTGCAATAGAGGATTTAATTGGTGAAATTTTAGTATTTTAGAATTTTTTTGTTTTGTTTTTAAGACAGGGTCTCACTCTGTTGCCCAGGCTGGAGTACAGTGGTGCCATCTGGGCTCACTGCAAACTCCATCTCTCAGGTTCAAGAGATTCTCCCACCTCAGCCTGCCGAGTAGCTGGGATCACAGGCGCACACCACCACACCCAGCTAATTTTCATATTTTTTGGTCAGGACGGGGTTGGGACGGGGTTTTACCATGTTGGCCAAGCTGGTCTCAAAAGCCTGACCTCAAGTGATCCACTCACCTTAGCCTCCCAAAGTGCTGGGATTACAGGCATGAGTCACCAAGCCTAGCCAATAGTTTAGAATTTCTCATTTAATTATTCTGCTTTTACATTTTTCAAAAATTTCTTGCAGTCTTCCAAAATGTAAAAACAAAAAAGTTTTCTAAGACATCGTGAAAAATACATTTCTGTGATATCTTTTAAGTTTATTTCATGATGCTTTACTATGCACCCTCTTTGAAACAGACAAATGTGGATTCCAATTATGGAAGAGTCCCCTAGTTACTGCTTTCTAAAGGACTAAAAAAGCTAACGGCACAAGAGAGAAGACAACACCCTAAAATTCTTAAGGCAGCCCCAAAGAGCTCTTGTTGACTTCACCTTTAGTGAATTCTTCAACGTGCAACCACTCTTTCTCAACTCGCGTTCTTCGTTTAGGAAAACTAAGAATACAACCAAAAAATACAAAAGCCTAGAAATAAGTGAAATCTCTATGTATTTCATCCAAAAGACCACCGGGATGGCTAAATAGTAGAAAGGAGAGCTTTATTGGTGATACCAGTTTGCAAACCAGGAAGAGACAGCCTGCAGCATGTGCGGAAGGTGCCCTCTCTTCCAAGAGGGGAAGGGCAGGTTGGGTTTTATGCCTCACAGGGCCTGTATCACACAGTAGAGTCAGACATATTCAGTAGGTTTTGGGGAAAAGGTATCCATATTTATGGGGGGAGCTGAGCACATGCAGAATGAGTAAACATATATGTAGCATACATCCCATGTTCACTTCAGGGCAGAGTTTTAGTGTTAAAATGAGGTAGAATTTGACTCTTTATGTCAAAAGGTGAACTGTAGGACGTAAACACAGCTTGTGCACCACGTCTATAAGCTGCTCAAACTGGCTTAAGGTCTGCCGTTGCTTACCAGGAAAGAATGTGTGTAAGGTCAGTCTTCTGTCCAGTCAGAGTTATGGTGGTCTGGGTAGTAAATCAGGGTGAGGAGGGGGTCTCATAGCACCTATTGTTAGGGAATTTCAATCATTAGGAATTTAGTAATTTGCCCCCCAGCCAGGCCCTGAACCCTGGACCCATCTTAGTTGATACAGGAATGTCTATTTTGGCCTCACAGATCACATATATTCATCAGAATAGTCCGAATCTTATTTTCCTTCTTCACTTGCAATGAGTGAATATACCACGAAGTAGAAGTTCATGTTCCAGCTAATTTTAGTTCATCCACATTTTCTGGAAGCAACCAAAAGTCATATGTGTTTAGACAGCTGTGATTTCTGCCAATTCAGCTTGCTTCAGGAACTGAGGGGATTCAATCTTACTTTATGCCAAAATCTGTTTGCTTGTGGCTGTTAGCATTAATCTTTTAACCTTTGATTCGCATTCATCTGAAAAGCTAGAGATGATTGTCCTTAATAATTAGTGCCATTCTTCTGTATCGTTGCTTGGATTGCCCATGAAAACTAAATGAGACTTTAATTCACTTAGTAAAGCTCTGTCATTATTTTATCACTTCTAAAGAGCAAGCATGATTTATTACACAAATGAAACTAAGGAATAGTTATGTGACTTGTCCTTAGATTCCTGCAGCCAAGTGGATTTGGAATTCCTTTTCTAATTTGAGATTTATCTTTGCAGGAACCATATTGAGTTGACATGCCTCACAACACAAAGGATAAATTTCATGCCCCTTTGGCTGGAATATTCTAGTAGATCTATTTTCAGAAGTTAATCCCAGACTTGAGATATTTAAATTCTTCTTATTTATTCCCTGGGATGTGCCCAGTGCTCTGCATACATTCTTAATGCTTTAGGTGAAAGAAGGATCAGTCCAAGAGAAACATTCCTCCCCATGGAACAAGGGGTGGGAAGGGATATAAGAACTCAACCTAGAGTCAGAAGATCTCAATGCTGGAATCATCATCCACATTCGTTTTTAGATAAGGAAATTAGGTTCGGAATGAGAAGCGAAGGTGAAGTCTATCTGTTGACTTTGTCTTTGGTAACTAACAAATGATTGGACCCAATGGGAACGTTGCTGATTTTATGCATTGGATACTTTGAAGATGAAAACTTCATTACAAACCAATGATTAATTAAGAGTTGATATTTATAAGTCACATGTTCATAACAGCATTCCAGTTGAATTGAACTGTCCATTTAAGATAAATCCAGCTATGATAGAAGGCATGGTCTCCATTTTGAGCTGAGTTTCTGACCACATGAAACTCAAATAAGTCTAAAAGTTTCTCTGATGTCTATCTACCATTTGCAGCAATGAAGATCAGATATTACATATTTACAAACTCCAGTGATAAATATATGTGGATAGATTGTATGTACGGTTAGACATGATTTAAGTTTTTGCCTCTTCCTAGATAGCTGTTTCTATTATGCTACTCTTTATAGCAATAAGAATTTAGGACTCCCCCAACACATACCAAGCACTGTGCTGGTAAACAACAACAACAAACAGAGTAGAAGACGCTGTGTTTGCCCTCCAGGACCTGACAGTTGAGGTAGAGAAAGAAAATGTATTTGCTCAGAAGTAAGAGGATAGTAGGAAATTAGCATATAGTCAGAATCTATGGGGAAGGATCATGGATCATATGTTTATAGCTTAAAGGAAGAGAGCTACTGATGGACACTAGAAGTCAGGAAAGGCTTCATAGCAGTTCTAGGACTGTGGTGGAATCTTGAAGTGTGTGTAGGATATGAACCAGAAGAGAAAAGGGATGGATTCTCAGCACAGAGAACAAGTATGACATAGTAACACTGATGACAAGTGTGAAGGGACAAAAATACATATAGTAAATTCAAGGGATATTTAATAAAGGAGTCTTGTCAGAGTTGAAGATTCATTTTGGTGAACGGTGGAAGATGAGGCCTCAGAAATGGATGATGAAAGGTCTCTGAACTGAACTAGAGTTTAAACTTAATTTCATACACAATAGAGAACTATCTGAGGCTATAATCAACAATCTGACATAAATAGAGTATAATCTTGTCTGTGGTATGCTATCCTGTCTGTGATATGCAACATATGTTAAGTCCTTGTGGGTTCAGCTTTTTGTCCCAGCTAATTCATTATCATTATTAAGGATTATCTTTCAATATATCTTACAAAGTGAGGCACTGCAAAAAGAGAACGAAAAGAAACTAGAAAGCTCTAGGGTTTCAAGAAAGTTGCCAAAAGTCTGCTTATTTTCATATATCACCTGATACTGAAACTTACATTTTGGTAACAATCCTCTGAACTGTTTTATTTCCAATGTTTTTAAATTTACTGTGGCGGGAAAACACCCCCAAAAGTCTTGCTAACCCATTTAGCCTGTGGCCAATGCTAGATTCATCTCGTCCTCCCAAAACACTAACTGGAAAGTCAAGGACAAGGTGACAGGCACCTGATAGTCTATCATTTATTCCTCTTATCACCTGCAGGATCTTGAATGTGTTAAACTGTTCTAGTTCTCTGATCCCAAGAAAACTTGGAGGTAACTCTTTCAAGAGAAAACAAGTAAGGTTCTGACTGTTGAGCTAAAAACTAAAGACACTGCTTGCTGTTGGGTTCTTTGACTCAGGGGAGAGTCCCAGGAGAAAGTCACCATGCTGATATGGTCTGTCCCACAGGTGGCTCCAGTGATTAAGGCCAGAATGATGGAGTATGGAACAACAATGGTCAGCTACCAACCCTTGGGAGACAAGGTCAATTTCTTCCGCATGGTCATCTCAAACCCGGCAGCAACTCACCAAGACATCGACTTCCTGATTGAAGAAATAGAACGTCTTGGACAAGATTTATAATAACCTTGCTCACCAAGCTGTTCCACTTCTCTAGGTAGACAATTAAGTTGTCACAAACTGTGTGAATGTATTTGTAGTTTGTTCCAAAGTAAATCTATTTCTATATTGTGGTGTCAAAGTAGAGTAGAGTTTAAAAATTAAACAAAAAAAGACATTGCTCCTTTTAAAAGTCCTTTCTTAAGTTTAGAATACCTCTCTAAGAATTAGTGACAAAAGGCTATGTTCTAATCAATCAGGAAAAGCTTAAAATTGTTATAAATACTTCCCTTAATTTTAATATAGTGTGCAAAGCAAACTTTATTTTCACTTCAGACTAGTAGGACTGAATAGTGCCAAATTGCCCCTGAATCATAAAAGGTTCTTTGGGGTGCAGTGAAAAGGATAAAGTAAATATAAAATGTATGTTGACAATAAAAACTCTTGCCTTTTTCATAGTATTAGAAAAAAATTTCTAATTTACCTATAGCAACATTTCAAATGTATTTAAATACATATAATTTTACAAAAGGAAAATATATATATTAAAAAAGATATCCTATTTTGTAACATATAGATTTTTATTTTATATGGGTTGTACAAACTGCAGGGGCAGATATAAAAACTAAGCCAGATTTTTTTTCCTTTCTCTTAATGGAGGCACAGTAAAACACTTAGCGAAGTTATTTTGAAACACTGACCCACAAAATTCTTAAAAGGTATTATTCCTTCTTTCTGTACATGTTATGGCTTATCACATCTCTAAAGTTAGTATTTCAAGACAAACACAAAAGAATACTGCAAGTTCTTTAAAATAATTGATACCATTGGCAATAAGATTCTCTTCCCCTTGAAGTTTTCCACCCTTTTTACTCTTAGTGGACTCACTCTGCAAGTGTGACAAGCCAAGCTTCATCTCAGATTAAATTAGGGTAATTGTCTCTATTCTGCTTTCCAATTCGGCCTGTTTTGAACAGAAGGTTGATGCTCGTTCTTGAGGCATCTTCCAAATAGTATTCTTTTATTAGGTCATTTGAATTAATTAGAGAAAATAAAAATAAAACCTAATCAGCCTGAGCAAAGAGGAATGAAGCACACTCCCAGAATGTGGTGAGCCCAGAAAATTAAAGTTGGCCTTGGGAGAAGAGATCTCTGTGGGACAATAATGACATCATCCTGGCGCCATATTGCCACTGTCCAGGAAAGAGAAATTTACCTTCAGGACAGCTGCGCATTTCCATCCCCTCCCCGTTCCTCCCCACAAAGTCTCTCCCACCAGACTGCCTACCACTGGGACCCAAAATAAATAATTTATATTCCATGGGTGATTGTTTCTCATCCATGAAATGAGCAGCCTCTCACCCTAGATTTTGAGGCATTATCTTAAGATTTTCCTTTATCCATCTCCCATCAAGATCCAAAGTGACCAGAATATGCAGAAATAACAAGATCCTTAGAATTCAAAATAGTATTTTTAAAACATCCTTCTTTCCCTGTGAACCTGATAGAAAAACCTGAGCTAACAAAGGCTTCCATAGATATTTATGGGGTCACATGTCGTCAGATTCCAAGTGCTGATAGGAGAACAGTAGATTCATATGCAGACTGCAAATGCAAATTTAGGAACATTCTCCATTTCTGAATGGACCAGGCAGTTCAATACTCAGACTACAGGTATACAAGGGAAGAGAGAAGACCCTGCCCTTCAACAGGTAGAAATGCCCTACAATATAACATATAGAAATGCCCTATAATATAACCACAGGGTCTAGCCATCTGAAATTTTCATAAGCTTCCCCCTACATTATTTCTCCTAGGTTATATGCAAAAACAGTGATAACTTGATATGAACACAGCTTTAGGCCTTTTCTGTCTAGAAAGCAAATGGGTTCACTATGACAATTAGAAGTAAACTCTTCTGTGCCACAGAATTTCATGAAGGAATAACCTTCCATTCTAGGCTTTGTCTAATGGCCAAACATCCCTTTGCTTTCTCAAAACTGCCTGGCCTGCTGAGAATAAGCACATAGCTGCCTGACTGTCTGGAGCCTCAGGCCCAAAGGTTCCACTTCAGAGACAGAGATGCTAATTGATCCAACCTGCTGTCCTTCTTGGAGAAGACAGTGCGGCCCAATGCCCTAGTGAACCAACCCTGCTCTACTCCAGGATGCTTTATCTTTTGGGTTACAGATCCTAGATTGTGAACTGCTGCTGCTGCTTTTTAGGTTAATGAGATAGTAAAATTTTAAAGGACAATTTGTGCCTATGTATGAAATTCCAGCAAAACAATTCTAGCAAAAACAATAGCTCTTCTTCCCCACTCCCCTACCGCTTCCCAGTATTCCTTCAAATTGGCCGAGAGCCTTGCTCAGGCCTGTGCAGGGAAATCCTTGCCAACTGTAGCCCAAAGAAGAAAGCAAATAAAAGCCTAGTAGGTCCCAGTAGTTTAATAAATCATCTTGAAAGGAGATGTGTAATCAGGTCAGAAGAGAGGGAAGGAGGAAGGGAGGGAGGGAGGGAGAAAGGACAGAAGGAAGGAAGGAAAGAGGAAGGAAGGAAGGAAAGAGGAAGGAAGGAAGGAAATGAAGGAAGGAAGGGATGGAGGGAGGGAGGGAGGGAAGAGGGGAGATTATTTTGAATATTAGCCCAAGTTCCCAGTGCCATGGTCTTTATGTGGGCCCATTCTTTACAAGTCTTAGAAAAGTTTGGTTTTAGCTTTAATCAGAACTGGCATGGCCATTTTCATTTATACAGCAATATTGTGTTTATCATTTAAAATACTTGAACAAACAAGTGTGATATGTCTTTATCTGAGACCTATGCATGGTATGGACTTTATATACCGTCACAGGATGTGAGGAAAGAAAAGGAAATCAATTCTGTCTGACTGTGTTGCCTTTATTATCTTGATAATACTGTCTTGTCACCTCAGATTGGGGTTGTGCACTTTAGATCTGAACTGTACAGTGTTGCAAATCAACATGTGTTCCTGTAAAAGCTTGTACAATATATTATTGATATGTCTTTTTCTGTGTGGTAGCTGTATTGAACTTTGATATTATGAAAACTACATTTGCATCTGTTCCTGTTCTCTCTCTCTCTCTCTCTCTCTCTCTCTCCTCTCTCCCCGCTAACTATGTGCCCTCTACATCGGCTCTAATAGAGAACATGCCCTCAGCTAAGCCCCCTACTGAGAAACTTCCTTTGAGAATTGTGCAACTTCACAAAATGCAAGGTGAACACCACTATGTCTCTGAGAACAGACGTTACCAATTGTGGAGTGTCACCAGCTGCCAAAATCGTAGGTGTTGGCTCTGCTGGGCACTGGAGTAGTTGCTAATCTTCAGAATATGGACAAAGAAGGCACAGGTGTAAATATAGTAGCAGGACGAGGAACCTCAAACTGGGTATCATTTTGCACGTGCTCTTCTGTTCTCAAATGCTAAATGCAAACACTGTGTATTTATTAGTTAGGTGTGCCAAGCTACCGTTCCCAAATTGGTGTTTCTGAATGACATCGACATTCCCCCAACATTACTCCATTACTAAAGACAGAAAAAAATAAAAACATAAAATATACAAACACGTGGCAACCTGTTCTTCCTACCAAATATAAACTTGTGTATGATCCAAGTATTTTATCTGTGTTGTCTCTCTAAACCCAAATAAATGTGTAAACGTGGACACATCTCAGGCTGTGGATAATTGTTCTGACTTTGTCTCATAGTGGAGATGATTTTCAACAAATTGCTAGAATCAAAGGCCCTTCACTTGCCAAGGAGCTTAAAGTGTCTTTGGGTCTTTTGTGGGGGAAAACAAAAAGCTCTTCTGCAGGTGCCCACACTGTAGCTTCTGAAGGATATCTTTGCCCCACTCTGATTTCTCCTTCAATCAGATCTGATATTTTTTTAAAACATATTTTATTATGGAAAATGTCACATACATAAAAAGGTAGAGAAAATAGTATAAATTCCTGTGTTGCCTTCACCCAGATTCAACATCTACTGATTATGAGCCTGAATCTTGTTTCATCCATTCCCCCACCCTTCTCCCTCCCCGACGTCCCCAACACTAAATTATTTTTATATGAACCTCTAAAAGATTAGTAATTTTTTTTTTGAGCCAGAGTGTCACTCTGTCACCCAGATGGGAGCGCAGTGGCGTAATCTCGGCTCACTGCAACCTGTGCCTCCCAGGTTCAAGTGATTCTCCTGCCTCAGCCTCCCAAGGAGCTGGGATTACAGGTGTGCACAACCATGCCCAGCTAATTTTTACTTTTTTTTTGAAATGGAGTCTTGCTCTGTCGCCCAGGCTGCAGTGCAGTGGTGCCATCTCCACTCACTGCAAGCTCCACCTCCTGGGTTCATGCCATTCTCCTGCCTCAGCCTCCCGAGTAGCTGGGACCACAGATGCCCACCACCACACCTGGCTGGTTTTTTTGTGTTTTTAGTAGAGACAGGGTCTCACCATGTTGGCCAGCTGTTCTCGAACTCCTGACCTCAGGTGGTCTACCTGCCTCAGCCCTCCAAAGTGCTGGGATTACAGGTGTGAGCCACAGTGCCTAGCCTGGACTCCTTTAAAAGAAAAAATGTCCTTAATACCATTATCACAGCTAAAAGTATAGCAATATTGCCATGACAATGTCAAATATCCAGCTACTGTTCACATTTTGCCAATTCTTAATTTCACAGCGAAGTCCATGGCCTGTGGCTCAGAAAATCTGGTGAGGCTACGTGTTTCAGGACAGCGGAGACACCTACAATTCAGGCACACAGTACAATGCCATGTATGCACTGCTGTGCATATGCTGTGTGTATTTTCCAGTGTACTGAGTCTATTTCTGGACTTCTGTGAGTTACAAGTTCTGGTCTTGTGTTCAGGCGCTTTGCTCCCAGGCTCTCAGGAGCAGAGGATAAGTGGTGTGCTCAGGTTAAAAGCTAGAAAACCAGAGGAATTTAACAGATGGAATAGATACGCCTGATGTGCTTTGTCAGGTCCAGGTTGCCCGACAGGCTTGAGTTGCCCCTAATGGTAAAATTCTGGATGGAGTAAAGAGATACGATTTTAAACAGAGATGGGATACAGGAGGACAAAAAGGGGAGGAGGCTGAATTTCTAGCTAATGTCAATATTGATTATAGGAGAACCAGTAGAAGATAGCCAGATAAAGAGGATACTGCACATTCCTGCCTTTGTTCACATTATTCCCTTGACCTAGAAAGAATTTTCCACTTCTCCATGATTTGGGGAGCATCTTTTGTGGGTGCTAAGAGTGCAGGCTCTGGAATAGGATCACTGGGGATCTAATCACAGCCCCACACTGACTAGCTGTGAGACCTGAGCATATCACCCGACTTCCCCGACTCTGTTTCCTGGTTTCCTCTGACAACAGCAATTGTCAGAGGCTTTTGAACCAGAGCAACTCCATCTTCAATAGCGGCTGGGGAAAATGAGGCTGAGACCTACTGGGCCACATTCCCAGATGCTTGAGCCATTCTAAGTAACAGGATGAGAGAGGAGGTCAAGACAAGATACAGGTCATAATGACCTTGCTGATAAAACAGTTGGCAGTAAAGAGGCCGGCCAAAATCCACCAAGACCAAGATGGTGATGAGAGTGACCTCTGGTCGCCCTCACTGCTACACTCCACCAGCACCGTGACTGTTTACAAATGCCTTGGCAAGGTCAGGAAGTTACCCTATATGGTCTAAAAAGGGGAGGCACGAATGATCCACCCCTTGTTTATCATATCATCAAGAAATAACCATAAAAATGGGCAACTGTCTATGGAGTAGCCATTCTTTTATTCCTCTGTTTTCTTGATAAACTTGCTTTCACTTTATGGACTCACTCTGAATTCTTTCTTGTGTGAGATCCAAGAACCTTCTCTTGGGGTCTGGATCAGGATCCTTTCCTGTAACACAGCCTTATTCATGAGGCTTTTGTGTGGATTCAGTAACATGGATGCACAGCACTTAGCATGGTGCTTGACACCTAGTAAGTGCTCAACAAACCTTGTGCTTGTACTGATGAGTTCTGTAAGTCAACTCACGTCACCTCCTTAAACATTCACCCTCCCCTGAATTCCCCAACTACTAACTCTCTATCGGTAGTGGTCACTGGGCACCCACCTGACAAGTCCAGGCTGGAAATGTCATCTTTATCTTTGGCGTCATCTTCTGCTTGTCCAATGTAGATTACCAACAGAGTCAACTAACATCACTCAGATTTGCTGACTGAAAGAACTGCTGCCTACTCCAATTAGGTGAACAAACCTCTCTCTAAATTTAAACTCAAGGAGATGTTCAGTTTAACTCAGTGTTTGCCATCTCAGACAACTCAGTCTGAAGCTTCATATGTGCTTTCCATTAACAGGGTCAGTCAGAGCCGTCTAACTCTTTTAATTTACTTGCTTATCAAAACACACATACATGAATATATATGTGTGTGTGTGTGTTTTTTTATATATATATATAGCTATATAGTTAAAAGTGCACATGGACACACACCCACTATAATTTAAGGGACTTGATGGTCCAAAAATAACATTATAATTTATTTCAATTATTGACACAAAACAGGAACAAACATCAAGAGATCAATAGCTCAGAGCTCACGTTTAGAGAGAACCAGAGGGGTCCATTTCCCCAAAATTAAACAGTGATGCTATAAAAACACACTGTGAGGATGTGGGTGGTTCACAGGCATAACCATCTATGTCTATGAAATGGAGAGGCTTGGGAGAGAGGAAAGGCCTGGAGCAGAAGGGCTGAGGAGGGGAGAAGGCTCTGGGGACTAGCGCCATGTCCCTTCCCCATCCTGCCCACCCTCCCTTCATCCAGCTCCCTGTTCTTCCAGCCCCTGACCTATTGTTTCACCAGTGATCTCTAAGGAAACTGTAAACTAAAAATTGCTTTTAAATGGTAAAGTAACTACAAATGAAACTGCCTTTGCAAAAATTGTAACAGTGAGAAAATTATGACAGCAAAAGAGATTTGATCTAACAACCCCCATCATGCCTGTAATCTCCAAACTGCCCTTCATCATTCCTGGGCTTGGACCAAGCAAACTTTGGGAGAAATTTAGTTTATTGTTTAAATGATAATAGCCCTCCCCAAAACTAAATCGCCTTTGTAAAGCTAATGAAAGTCCACCAGGTTACCAGGTTACCAGGATGAAAGCACCCTGAATTCTGCTAAGGTGTAGACATAAAGGATTGCCAGCCATTGTTCGGGAGGTCCTAAGATTTACAACTCTTCCAATTACTCCTGCAGATAACGTTACTATTATAGAACCTGAGACTGGCCTTTTGAGATGTCTTTTCAGCTTTTTGTGTTTCTGACAACCCATGGCTGCACCGGAACCCGCTGAACCTGACCCTGACCCTGACCCTGCTGAGCCATCCTGTGGCCCCACCTAGAAGCAGACTCCCTGGCCCTCCAAACTGTCTTTGAAAAACCCTAGCCTCTGAATTTTCAGGGGGATGGATTTGAGGAATAACTCTGTCTCCC